TGCAAAAGAAAACAAAATTGTTTTTCTTTAAAGACGCAACTATGTTGTGCAAAACAGATCAAGTATCATTTGAAATACTTGATCGATGAATTGTTCAATCATTATTGGACAAAGATATCGTCATCTGGCTACTGACGCCAAAGCTAAAGACGCTGACGAGGTGCTTTAGCAAATAGAAGCTCCAATCCTATTGGATGGAGAAAAGACGCTTCTAGAAAATTCTTAGGAATTTTAGAAGCTTGAATTCAATTGGATAAAATCCAATTTCAGATTTTAAATAACGACTTCAGGCATCAAAGGAAAAACTTTGAATTGTCAGTCGTTAGGAAAGATTGAAACCAAACGGTGGAGTCGTTATAAAGAAATGAAACAAAACGGTTAAGCCTTAGCAAAGGTTAAACTAAAATAGTCGTTATCCAAAGTCTTTGGTCGTTCTTGCTGTCTTGAAACAAAAAGTTAATTATATTTTAAAAACAACCGATATTCAACAAATATAATAGTTAAACTATGTCACAAAAATTGTAATTAAATAAATTAATTAAATATAATAAATAAAGTATATTTTTTAAAAAACTAAACAAAGAACCCGAACATTAATTTGCATTGTTGCTTTTTTTTCATGAAGTTGTGAATTTAATATTGCTGTTTTTTTTTGTATTTCTGTCTTGTGCAGTGATCGAAAATATGTATTTAGAAATGTGTATACTTGTTTCATTTGTTAGGTTGCGTGTGTACTTTTCTATGCTTTTGCTCTATGATATTTGTTTGTTTTGCTTGTATGTTTTTTTTGTTTTGGATTGTAGTTTTTTTATGAAATTTAGGAAGGTGTCTATTTCGCATGTTTTTATTATTTCTTTTGTTTTAAGCGCTGATATGCATGTGTGTCAGAATGTGTATACATTTTGTTGTTTTTTTTGTTTAATTGATTGAACATTTGACTATGAGTTGCGCGTAAATTTTTTAAAGCAAATTTGAAAAGATCGTTGTTTTTGTGCATCAAATAAATATATGCAAATTTGTAAGCAGTATATGTATGTGTGTACAATGTGTATGCAAATAATATAATTTTATCTGTAATGAGATTATGCCTACATTTATGTTTTAAGAATTATTTTTATTGCTAAATACGATTTAGAAATTATAATAACAAAAATGAGTAAAAATATGTAGTTTAAGAATAAAATTTTTGAACAAAGTCTTATGCTGGATGTATATTTGGTTTTGTATGTGCAATAATTTTTTATTGATTTTTTATTACTGTTATATATGTATATGTGTATTTTTATATTTCTGAATATAATCAATCATTTTAATAACTAATTTTGTTTAATGTCGTCTAGTGATAATATGTATGTATATGTATATAAAATTTTTAAAATTATATATTTTAATATTTTGTGGCATTGTGATAACAATACCAAATATACTTTAAAAATTTATATTTCAATTTAATATGAATGCACTTGGTACAAATATTTTGAGAAAAAAATCAGTAGTAATAAGCGTGCATTTAAGGGTTTTGCCCAGTTTTATTTTTTTGTTTTTTGTTTTAAGCGAATGTGTGTACTTTTCTTCTTTTTTTTGGTTTGACTGATTTCACATTTGCTTATGCGTACCGCCTGAATTTTTCTAAGCAAATTTGGGAAGATCGTTGTTTTTGTAAGCAGTATATGTGTGTACAACGTGTATGCAAATATAAGTACAAGTTTATCTTTATGCCTACATTTGTTTTTTTAAGCGATAATGTGCATATTGAAACGTTTTGTTGATTGTCTAGTTGATTAAGAATAAAGAAAAAAAAAAATTTAACTTACGCGCTTTGGTTTTATAATTTAAGACAGATTAAAAGTGTTTGTAAATTAGTTCAAGCAACAATGCACATATTCAGATTTCGATTTGCGTACAAAAGAAAAAATTTTTCTGCCTCTTGATCTGCTTTGAAGTTCTAATGGAACACTTCTACACACCAAATGTAAAAAGCAAAAACAAGCAACCCAACAAGAGACTATGAATGAAGGCGCAAACAAAATGCGGGCCACTTACAATCCAAAATTCAACCATAGTTTCGATTCGTTTATCATCTCTCAGAAGTTTCAATGCTTCTTCTTCTCTAGATTATTTTTGCAAATTACACGTAATTTGAAATTTGAATTTTCAATTTCAATTGTGCCTGTAATTCAGAAACTAAATTACAAATTAAAATTATACTGTAATTCGTAATTGAGGTTTTCAATTAAATTACCCATATAGTCTGGAAATTCAATTATCAATTAAATTACTCAGTAATTTATAATTGAGTGTAATCTAATTACAAATGTAATCATTATTGCACAGCTCTGTTTACAGTCCACGAAAAGGGGGCAACTGATAAGTTCGAATGTTTTAAAGTTGTGTTCATTTTCACGTATAATATTAAAAACCTTAATCCGTTTTAAACAATATGAGCAGTCAAATTAAAAAACTCACGGAATCTCAGCAGAAAATAAATCCATATTTGTACAACCAAGGCAAATCTTATGCCGATATTTGGAAATGGTGCATAGAAATTCAATGCCTGCATTATTGATATAAACATCCACAAGAGAAACTTCAAGGAAAGTACCGAAATCTTGAGTTTACCAGCTAAATAAAACAGCTAAGCTGGTTTTATATTATTGTTAGATCTGAAACGTACGGTTTTTTATGTTCATATATGGCTCGCGCATTACGCAAAACATACATTGCTGCATCCGCTACAATCACCAGATATCAACCTCATTAAACATTTGTGGAAATAATTGGATAGATGTCTAAAGAAGCGCGTTATAACAATAAAGGCAGAACTAAAAGTGAGACTGCTTGATGAATGGCAAAATATTGGTCCAGAAACCATACAAAAACTGTTTTCTTCAATGCCAAAGCGATTAAAAGCTTTTATCAAACAAAAGGGCTGGCTTTGGGTTTTAATTTCAAGAAATTAAATATAAAAGATATTAAGCAGAAATTAAGCATTTTATCTAAAAAAAATTTGTTAAACAAAATCACTATATAATTGAGGTTAATACAGTGTTAAAGTTCAATGTGCTTGCTGTGCCACTAATTATGTGTGTGATTGTATATACAGTGGCTCTCAGCTTATTTCATGTAATACTGTTTTAAGTTTTTAAAACACTGTGTCTTGAAAATTAATTAGAAAACAATAATGTAATTTAATGTGAGGAAAGGCACGCTTATTGAACTTAATAAATGAAGCAAAGTACATATAATTTGTTTTTGTTTTGCTCAAAGAGGAAAAACTCGATAGTTCACAGTTTACTTCATCCAAATCATCACTAGCGCTTAGTCGCCAGTATGTCGCATTGTGCAACGGGATTTTTTTATCCGTAATATTTGCAACCAAATGTAATAAATTTTAATGTGATTTTGAACGTGTAACGATAAATAAGTAATTTTTTAAAAAAAATGAATGGACGCTTTACAATTGAGGAAAGAGAATCGATGCTAACCCATTTTAAGTACGGTCAACCTTAGCGAAAATTTGCGAAATTCGTTAATTTGAGTCCCTCTACTATACAGAGCATCATTAATCACGTTGTTCGCGAGAATAGGACTCAAAATATGGGCGGAAGTGCACTATAAAAAATTTTCAACTCAGCTGACGAGAAATATTTTGCTGGAAAAATCAAGAGGAATCCAAAATTAAATGTTCCTGATAGGTATAATCAGAAAGCTGCGGATAGAACTAGGCAAGATGTGCAGTGCGACAATTGTCCGCCGTATGTTTCAATACTCCCACGTTTATGGTCGAGGAGCCAAACAAATCATTCATAAGCAAAAAAAATCAGAGAAGTCGATATATTTATGCTAACAAGCATACCTACAAAAATTAAACTTCTGGAACACCATCATATTCTAAGACAAGTCTAAATTCAATATATCTAGCTCAGATGGCATGACTTACGTCTAACGAAAACCTAATACTGAGCGCAAAAAAGAAAACTTGAAAACTACAGTAAAGCATGGCAGTGTTATGGTTTGGGCCTATATATCAGCCGCCGGCATTGAGAATCTGGAGTTTATTGATGGAAACATGGACAAAACAATATATTTCGTTTTGAAAGAAATTTACTCCAGAGTGCCGTGAAAGTTGGAATTTCTGAAAGATTTCGCGTCTACCAAAAGAACGACTCAAAACATAAAGCCGGGCTTGTACAGCCTTGGTTGATTTGGAACTACCCGCAGCTTATGACATCGCCGCTGCAGAGTCCAGACATGAATGTCATTGAAAATTTATAGGCAATATTGGAACAAAACATTCCGTAATATACTATTTCCAACAACGAAGACTAAAAAAGGCTATTTTACAAGAGTGGATGAAAATAGCTCCAAAAACAACTCACAAAAACTTGTAAGTTGAATGCCGAAGAGACTTGACGAAGTGATAAAAGCGAAAAGATGTCATACCAAGTATTGACTTTGGCCCCAAATGAAATTTCTCTTTTTGGATGAAATAAGCTGAGGCAATGGAACAGGAGTATTTTTATAGTTTATGTTCATTTTTTATTAAAACAATATTTTCGGTATTTTTGCAGTTTCTAAATTAAATAATGAATATTTTTCCTTAAAACTGGCATTTAAATATTTTCAATCGATGATATAGTTTTTCAGTAATAGCGTAAAAAATTTAAAAATTAGTATTAGAGGAAATAAGCTGAGAGTCTGATTTAAGCAGAATAAGTGCCATATAAACTCAAGAGTCATATTAAACTTTTTGCGTGCATAACTTTTAATTTAACAATGAATTTTTACAAAATTTTTTTTAAGGTATAGGAGCAACTATTACACAATACAATATATCTGTTTAAATTCAGATTATAAAAAAATTCAAATTTTTTTAATATTGTATCATGCTTTTATCAAACTGAACTTAAAAAATACTAGCTTCGAATATTTTAAGAGCTCATATATTTTATTACTAATACAAAAATGTGGGGTTCTTCCTTGAAAAACTATTAAATATTTTAGTGGTAGTTATGAGTATTAATCGGTTTAGTAAACTCCTTTACCTGTTGGTATTCTAAAATATTTCGGCGTTGAATATGAGCGACTTTTGGATCCAAATTTTTGGGAGCAAGTTGTGAGTACGTCTCTGCGTTACATGGAATCAGTAGCATAGTTTGGTGATAATTTCTTAGTGGTGGTGGTGATTCTGGTCTTCTTGTGGGGCTTCGAACCAAGTGCCCATAATGCGTCGGGTCAATTGAAGTCATGGTTTGGGAATTCTGTGAATACATTAGTGATTCATCTTGATCGTGTTGAATCATTGTTTGACGAAACATTGTGCCAGCTGGAAGCGTCTGGTAAAAATCCTGTTGTAAATTAGTTTCAATTGGTATTTGTTGTTTGGTATCATCAGATTCAGGATAAAAACTCCACGTTCTATGTTCTGCCTGTTGTTGAGTAATTGTATTAGTGTGCATTTCAATTTGCTGTTGTATATTTTTTTCTTGCTGCTGTTGTTGCTGTTGATGTTGCTGTTGTGAGACCTTATACTGCGCAGTTTGAGCTGATGGAATCTGTGGATATTGTTTAGTTACTGATCTAGTAGATAATTGCTTGGGCAAAGTAAAAATTTTTGCTATTTGATTATTTACCTGCCATAAAAGTACAAATTCTATTAATTTTTTTTTTGTACAAATTTAAGCTAACATACCTGCATATTTACATTTGGCATTTGTTGAGTTAATTGTTCTTGCATTTGCTGTAATATTTCGTTTGTTGAATTGAATTTAGGTTTTATACCTCGTACAGATGGACGTTTATTAAACCCATAATCATTTTGTTCATCATCATCAGAACTCACATTTAAATTATCGTTTATATAGCGTTTTTTCAACTTTTCTGTACGACTTACTTCTTGATATGCAAATGCTGTCAATTCGTCTTGCTGTTCTTGGCCTGGCGTTCCGGCAATTACATCTGGTGCTACTTTACGCTGATCTTCACCACTTAAAGTTATATTAGACTGTTCTCCGGTTAAACCTGAACTATATTCTACTAAATGCGCATGACTTGTGGAATGACTACTGTGATGAGCAGTAGCTAAGGTGTAGTATGAAGTTAAATCGTCTTTATTTCCTGCTACACAAGCTGTGAGTGGTGCTAACGTTGAAAGGAATTGACGTTTATGTTCAACTTGTCGTGGTGGTGTTCGATGTATTTGTGTATGTACTACAGGTACTTGAGTACCCATGCCCAGATCTGGAGCAGCAGGACAACGACATTCCTATAAAAATAAAAGTATTATTATAAATATATGTATTATTATAAAAATATTATTAATTTACGGATTCTTATATAAGAAAGAAATAAATCACTTCACAACTTTTAATGTCTTTTTATTAACAAATGAAATACAGTGATTACAAATTTAATTAAATCAATTGAGACAGTGACTCTAAATAAAAATCTAATAAAATTGGGCTCGATTTTAAAAGATAAGTAAAACATTTATTAAATTTAAACATTTGTTTTTTATCAAAAAAAAAAATAGTTCAACTTTGCAAAACTATTTTGTTTTGAATTTTTTTATTAATATTTTTTATCACACATCTAAAATAGCTGATAGAGAGGGCATTGATCTATGAGCAAAATCCATAATACAAAAATCGATATTCCACCTAATGATATTAAATCGTGCAGAAAAGAAAAATGGAACGAAGTTAAAGGTAATAAAGGACCTAGAAACAGTCCTGAAAAAATGAAAAAACCAAAGCAACAAAAATTGAACTACTGGCTTAGTAATTCGAATAGATTTGATGAACTCATAGTAGAAGAAAATAGAAATCAACCAGCTAAACAAAAGGAAAAACCCCTTAAATCACCTACAATTTTCGTAGATAAAGTTGAGGACGTCGTCCCACTTTTAAATCTGCTTAATAAAATTGCAAATAATAAATATGAAATAAGAGTGATTTCATCTACTCGTATTCGTATACAGCCCGGTATACCGGAAATTTATGCAAAAATCGTTAAACTGCTCGAAAGCAAGAACACGAAATCCTATACATACAAACCTAAAAATGAAAGGAGCTTTAAGGTCATATTAAGCAATATGCATCGTTCCGTCGATACAGACGATATAAAAACAGCTATTGAAAAATTTGGACATGCTGCTACAAATATTTGGAATATGAAACATCGTCAAACAAAAAGGTCCCTTCTAATGTTCGTTGTAGAAATAGAGCAAAAACCAAATAACAAAGATATCTACAACATAAAAAGCCTACTCCACAGTCGAGTTATATTTGAGCCACCCCATTTTAAACGTGAATTACCTCAATGCTCAAGATGCCAACACTATGGCCACACTGAGTCAGGATGTAGAAGACAACCCAAATGCATTAAGTGTGCTGGTAATCACGCATCGGCTGACTGCGAAAGAAAATCCAGAACATGTTTTTAAACAAACCTCATGCCCATAAAGCTCGTCCTATGAAATGCCAATGGATTGTCAAAACATTCCTCTGAACTCAGATTATTTCTATCAAAAAATAATGTGGATATATTGTTAGTTTCAGAAACTCTTTTCACAAAAAAAAAATTTTTTTAAATTCCATCCTATTGTTTCTATCAGTCTCCGCATCCAGACAGAAAAGCTCATGGATGCTCTGTAGTATCAATTAAAAGAACACTTAAACATTATGAATGTACTCACTACAGCACTGATGAAATTTAAGCCACAAATGTTGTAATCGAGGACTCAGTCGGACCAATTCTTATATCTGCCATATATAGCCCACCAAAACATAATGTAAAGGAAGAAATCTACACAAAAGTTTTTTCAACATTAGGGAATCGATTTATAACTGGTGATGACTTCAATGCAAAAAATATATTCTGGGAACCCCGACTAACCACAACAAAGGGACGTGAATTATACAAAGCAGTGAGCCTCGTAAAACTTAAAGTTTTTTTTCACGGGAGAACCCACATACTGGCCATCAGATACAGCAGAAATTCCTGATGTAATTGATTTCTGCATTACCAAAGGCTTCATTTATAAACGTACTGCGCACGTAAGATCAGCTTAGAGTTATCATTGGACCATTCACCAGTGATTGGCATAATAGTTATAGACTTGAGAAGCAAGATCCAAAAATGTTAATTATACAATAAGCAAACAAATTGATCAATATTTGAAACAATATGTATGAAACAATATCGTCTTTAAACGTCAAAATGCCACTAAAAAGCGAAGAAGATATAATTGAAACGACTGAATACTTAACCAGATCTATTCAGGAAGCAGCATGGGAAGCTACTCCTTCTTCAAAAGTCTATAGGAAGACTCAGGTAATGTATACTGGGGCATCACAAAAAAACTTAAATATAAACGGAATGCTAGAAAAATATGTCATCGTACCAGACAAGAGGAAACTTAACAAAATTTCAAAAGATCTAAAGGCTCTACTGAAACGACAGACGGAACAAAATTCGCAGTAGTTCTTATATAGCCTCGACACATCTCACTTATCTCATTATTCTTTATAGAAAGCAAATAAAAAAATAAATAATACAATAGATTATCGACCCCCACTTAAAAAAACAAATAATACTTGGCCGAAAAAACCGTCTGAAAAACATCAACTTTTCGCAAGCCATCTAAAAAACGTTTTTACTCCATATGATATGACTGGCGATCCAGCAATAGATCTCAATATTTCCAAATTTTTGAAGGAAACTTACTAAATGGAGTTACTAATTAGGAAATTTGAAAAACGAGAAATAATTTCTTCAATTAAATCTCTTAAAAAACAAAAGGCACCTGGTTATGACCTCATAACTGCTGAAATCCTTAAAAAACTTCCAGATGTTGCTTTAATATTTATTACCTATGTTATCTTTTTAATGCAACCTTATTAAAAAGTTGCATCCCAGCTC